CTTAGAAGTTCCTCAGAAATCTACACAGAGTTAACATATGACTCAGCAATTATACTCCAAGGTAAGTCTGCACAAGAAATCAAGCAGGGACTTGAACAGACACTCATATGACAGAGTTTACTGCAGTGGTATTTACAATAGACAACAGGTGGAAATAACCCAAATGTCAACTGATGGGTAAAGGGTTAAATTCAATATGCTATAGCCATGCAGTTGAATATTATTCAGCCATAAAAAAGGAAATGAAGTTCTGATACATGCTATGACAAGGAATAACCTTGAAAACATTATGCTCAGTGAGACAGCCAGACAGAAGGGGCCAAACGTTGTATCATTCTACCTAGAATAGACAAACTCATAGAGACAGAACACAGATTAGAGGTTACCAGGGACTGGAAAGGAGAAATAAAGAGTTGTTGCTTCATGGCTAAAGAATTTCTGTTTGGGGCGATGAAGTTTTGGAAATAGTAGCAATGATTGCGCAATACTGTGAATGAATTCACGTCACTGAACTGTACACTTAAAAATTGTTAATTGGCAAATTTTATGTTATATATATTTTATCACAATAAAAAAAATTAAAAAGGAAAAAAAGAGCACATTACTGGAAACTGGAAGAAGAAAGAGCCTTGTCATACAAAGCAGAAAGCTTCCAAAATTGTTGCTGAAGTGATATAGAAAGGAGAACACGTAAGTGTAAAGTAGTTATGCCGTTGAAGAAATTCCCAGGAAAAGCATTGGAGGTGCTGCCTGGTTTCTTCTTCCTGTTTATTGTTAAATGTCAGAGAAAGAAAAATGTTCTAGGAAGAAACAGTAAACAGAAGGAACCAGGACAGAATAGTTTTAACAATTCTGAGCCTCTCCTGAGGGCAGAGATGCTAAAATTAATAGCTCCTGAGCACACCAGAAATGGCTGACCGAGTAAAAAGCTGAGGATGTGACTGTATAACCTTTTGTTAAAACCTCAGAAGGAGCAAATGAGCAGAGCAGTACTCAGTCACACAAAGGGTCAAGAGGTCAAGAGTAAAGACACGCCTCACAGGTTTTCTCATCACAAGCAGGCTGTTGTCCCTCAACCATCTCGCAGGATCCCCAGGTAGAGCAGGGCCATCGCACAAACGCCTGTGGGTATAGATTTGTTCAGTGAAGTAAACACCAAGGAAGGCCATGGACAATCCAGAGTTTATTCCAGCAAAGTGCAAGCCTGGATTGGAAGGTCCATGGGAAGTGCAGATGAAATGAGACTCTAGAAAGTCCAAAATTCTGCTGGCAGAAAGCAGACTGATGGAAGGACCCAGACGCAAGCACGTCCTACCTTTTAAGAAAAAAGAGGAAAGATTCAGGGAGCAGAACTGAGAACCCGGAAGACAGAGCCCAGAACCAGGGGAAATTATGCCCAGGCATTGAAACCTAATTGAAAACCTCCCAATACCTGTCTGGCTAGATTTCAGAATTTCTGTGGAGCAGTGGTTACAATGCACTTCCCATTTTCCCTTTTTCAACAGAAATGTCTCTAGCTGGTGCCCTCTGCCTGTCCTGCCACTGCATGTTGGGTGTGTTTGTGGCAGATAACTTGTCTCTCATTTTAGAGGTTGGCACACTGAGAGGAACCACATGGGGAAGAAACTTCTATCACATTTAGGCCTAATTTACATGATAAGGGTCAGTACTTTGGTGAGATGATTTAAGGGCACAGTATGAGTGGGAACTTTGGGAGTGGGTGAAATGCATTTTGTATGTGGAAGGGATGCAAATGACTGAGGGACAGATACTCTACAGACCATGGTAGATACTCTAAGGTGACTCCAGTGATCCCTGCCTCCTGGTATCCATGCCCTATGTAAAGCCCCACTCTTGAGTGTAGACAGAGCCTGTGACTCACTTCTAACCAAAAGAATATGGTTAGCTGATGGCAAGTCATTCTGTGATGACATTATATAGCAGTGCAATGCCTATCTTGCAAGGAGACACTCTTTCTTACTAGATTTGAGGAAGTGACCATAATGAGAAGGCTCATTGGGTACTAACAACTAACAGGAAACTGAAGTCCTCAGTTTGACAGTCCACGGGGAACTGAATGCTGACAACAACCATGTGATCTTGGAAGAAAATCCTTCCCCTTTTGAGCCTGAGATGAGATGTCAGCTCTGGCCAAGCAGAGAACCCAGGTAAGTCACAGTGCAAAGCCCTGATCCACCGAGGCTGAGAGATACAAAATGTGTGTGGTTTTAAACCTTTAAGTTTTTAGAACTGTTTTATAGAGCAGGAGAAAGCTCTCACACATAATGACATTTGCCTCTGGATAATAGTCACATGAATAGCCACAGCTTCATCCTTGTTGGTGGACCTTGGGGAATCAGGCTTCTGCTCAGTTCTTGATACTCATGAAAATCATTTCCAGGTAATTTAAAACAGACACAAAGTGTCCATAACTTTTAGAGTACATATGAAAAATAAGTTAGGTGTTTTCTTTATCAATTACTTCAGAAGAAATTATTGGAATATTTCTGAGATTTTTGTTGTAATAAAGCTCTCATTGAATTATTCCCCATATTGAAGATTTGGTCTCAAATGAAAAGTCACTAACTTTAATCCTGGCTTTAACGAGGGAAATTTTTGGGGAGAAGCAATGTAGTCACTTGAGGCCTCTCAGGAGTTCTTAGGACTGATGGAGTTTACATAAGCATGATGGGATTGTGTTAATGGTTGCGGATGCTTATTCCTTGGTCTTTTGTTTCTTCCCATGGCGACCAGGTTTCCTTTAATCTTCAGTTTAATTCTCAAATGTTTGAAATGGGTGGTGTTCCTTTCTATTACTTAGGTGGAGAGACCTCTCATAGAACATGGCCAATCTAAGAACTATTTGCTTGTGAAGACTGAAAAAGAGATATCATGTACTTGGCTTTTCTAGTTTTCATTAACCTCCTGCTACGCCACTAGAAAGGCTATTCAATAAGGAGGCTTCAATTTTATAAAAATCTTCCATAGCCCCTGTTCTTACTACCCAGCTTTTTATTACATAAATCCAATGTCCTCCATTAACCAAATTCATTTAGTCTAAATGAGCATTTCTTCTGTTAAAAAACAAAAAACACACACACACACACACACACTTTAAATGTAAGTCCTCCAAACACACTAGCCATCCTGATCTTTTCCTGAAAACAAAGCTTTAAGGACAATCCTAAATGGATACTGTTTATCAGAGTTAAACAGCTTCTTCTTTCCTGGGTGCTCAGCTGGGAAAGGTGACAAGAGATGTGAGGTTTGTGGAGGTGCCGCTACACACAGGTGAAGGTGGGTATTCTGTGACAATATATAGCATTTTTAAATTGAACTCCTGGGGTGACACTGGTTCACAGAACCATACAGGTTTAAAGTATACAACTCAATAAAACAGCATCTACATACTGCATCATGCACCTACCACCCCAAGCAAAGTCTCTTTCCATCTCCATTTTCTCCCCCTTTGCCCAACCCTACCTGGTCCCACCCCCATTTCCCTCTGGCCGTCACTACTCTGTTATCTGTGTCTATGTGTTATATACATATATATGTTTGTTTGCTTCATCCCTTCACCTTCTTTCATCCAGCCTCCCAACCCCCTCTTCTCTGACGGCTGTCAGTCTGTTACATGTATCCAGGCCTCTGTTTCTATTTTGTTCATCAGGTTATTTTGTTCAGGAGATTCCACATATAAGTGAGATCATATGGTATTTGTCTTTCTCTGACTGGCTTACGCCCAGCCAATTTTAAATCTTACAAGGCTTAGAAGTAGCAGGGAGACCGCTCTCCCATAATCAGCTTTCACACTTATCAACTAGTGTTAACTTGGAAATGACATACTTTTGCAAGAGTATCTTTAGGGAACCACTTCAAAAATGACCAACCCTGTTTTGCAAAAGTCTTCTTTCATTTTCCTCTGAGATCAAAGGAATAAAATCTTAATTGGTAATTTAAGAACACAGTGAAAAAAAAAAAATTTGTCTAGTTGTTTTGAGGTTGTAATAAATCTAGTAGAGAACTATCTTTCAGTAGGACTGTATATAAATATAACATGTAAATATTATATTGCCTATATAAATATTTATCACATAGCAAATGGCTGCAGACAGTATTTTATGAGGCTTCACGTGAATACTTATCACTAGATACGGGCCTTACCACATTTTAATTACAAGGTATTGAAAATCATTTTCTTTCACATGGGATCAATACAGTAAGTTTATGGGAACATAGCAGAATAAAAATCCTGAAAGTGATGTGAAAATTGCCTACTTGGATATTCTCCAATGACCATAAACAGAAACGTACTTTAAATATGCAAGAAAGAATGAAATATCACAACTGTAGATTTTATGATGCCAAAATCAAATGTCTGATTCTATAAAAACCAACCAACTGATAATGCAAGACTGAACTCACATGTCCCCAGTATGGGCTGAAAGCTTAAAATACACGTGGGAAAGAGTGCCCCACCGGAGCAGCTCCACTGAGGGTATGTTAGCAGTAGAGTGTGTGCTAGTTATAAATATAACCCAGGCCTTGATATGTTCTCACCTATGCTCCAGCTGCTTACTACAGTTCTGACGGAGAACGTTACTTCGTCTGGACCCTTTGTCCTACACGGAACTGCAAGTTTTGAGACTGGTGTAGTTGGATTCCAGCGAACACAAGCTCTCTCCAGCAGACTCACTTTTGAGTCTCCAGAGAGCCCAGCAGACAGGAACAGATGCCCACTGTCCCTGGATCTCCACTCTGTTGGGAGTTGCTCAGCTGAGCCAACCACACAGGGACCACAGCGGCCCAGTGAAGCTGTCAACACGAGGCTTTGGTCAAAATTTAAGGACGTCAGGAAAAGAGGAGGACAAATCAGCTCAACAGAAAGGGATGCCACAGATAAGCTAAGCTAGATCCAAAACTAAAGCCACAGGGGAACCGACCACACTGGAATGACAGTAAGTGTGAGGACAGTGATGCTGGGGAGGTGCGGTCCGTACCTCTCCTCGCGGTTCTGTCCCACACACACGCGGCCCCCGTGCCGGGGTGTGGGGTTGCTGCAGGACCGCTGGCGCACCTGGAAGCCGATCCCACAGGTGGTGCTGCAGGGAGACCAGGAGGTCCAGGGGGTCCAGCCTCCGTTCCTGGGGGGAGGAAGCAATGTGCTCACTGAGTCAAACCGGCCCAGAGTTGATCCGCCATCTGCACCCACCTCCCCATCCAGGTGCTTCCCCACGTAGACCACCCAGTTACGGGCTGGGAACAAAAAGGGAACTGGGGCCATGAGGCTGAGTGTACTGCATCACGGGAATCTCAGTTACTGTGAGATTTTTCTCCTAGGTAACCGATTTTAAAGTCAAGAGAGGAAATTTAAGAGTAACATTTTTAGTGCCCTATAAATAATTCAAATTAGGCTATGTTAGAAACTATTAAGAAAACTTAGTTATGAAATGTAAATCTAATAAGAAATGTTAATTTATTGAAAAGCAATTAAAGATGAATCCCTGAACTTCTAGAATGTATGCTTTTACTTGTACTATTTCAGTTATAATTTAAAGTGAACATATGAACAAAATAATCATCTACACCTACACATAATCCTTCCTTTGAAAATCAGTAATTCTCTTGGCAGCATTCGTATCGACATAGAACACATAATGTCTAAAGCTTTAAAACAAACTTTATTAAAAATGAAGGAAAAGTATTTTAAATTCAGATTCTGTCTATTTTCTTGCAATCTGACAGACATATAGAAGATGAAAAAGGAGTACAAACTGTGTATATCTGAATGTATTCATGTTATTTAGGTATAGATACAAAATAAGGTAGAAAAAAGACAAAATAAAATAAAATAAACCACTTTTATAAAATATAAAATAATGCTTTTAAAATAAAAAAATATGACCAGCCAGTGTGGCTCAGTGGATTGAGTGTCGTCCCATGGACTGAGAGGTCCTGGTTTGATTCCCCGTCAGGGCACATGCCTGGGTTGTGGGCTTGATCTCCAGTAGGGGGCGTGCAGGAGGCAGCTGATTGATGTTTTTCTCTCACAATGATGTTTCTATCTCTCTCTCAATTCCTCTCTCTCTCTCAAAAAAATCAATAAAAACATATTTAAAAAATAATGAAATAAAATAAAAATTACTACTGTGGCCTTGGCTGGTGTTGCTCAGTGATTAGAATGTCAGCTTGTGAACTAAAGGGTCATGTGTTTGATTCCCGGTCAAGGGCTCATTCCTGGGTTGCAGGTTCGATCCCAAGTGTGGGAGGCAACCAATTGATGTGTCTCTCACATTGATATTTCTATCTGTCTCTCTCCCTCCCTCCCTCCCTTCCACTATCTTTAAAACATCATAGGAAAATATATCCTCCGGTGTGGATTAACAACAACAAAAATTACTACTGTGGTCATGGTGCTATAGATGCAGTAACGAAGGAGAAATTTAATTATAGTTGTAAAAAAAAAAAATCGAACAAACAACAATAACCAAACGATAAGCAGAAGACTCAGAAACCTACTCAGTGGACCACACTGTTCGGACATGTCTCCCGATTTCCCAGTATCAAACGCTGCAGAGCTAGATGTTGGGAGACAGGTACACTGTAAAGCAGAGAGTCTTTTGATTGGGATTTGCTTGCCTCTCTCAGCTACTGCCATAGCACACAGCAGTGGTGGATGCCTCGCAGTGTGTCCTGTGGACTGAGCACGCCTTCCTCCGGCTGCTGAGTGGGGCGGCGGCTATAACTCAGCTGAGAGGATCTAATAGGTTTTGCTCCTAAAGTACTAAATTAGCAATATTTCAAGTTTTCCAACACTTTCTGAGTGTATTGGGTTAAACAAGTTGCCTATACATAAAGTACAAGGTTGAATTTAGAATCATCTGAAAGATCTTCTTCAAAGGCTCTCTGATGTACTTTGCACAAATTGAGAAAGGATTTGGCAGTACTGACTGAGTAAAACCTTCCGTTTGCAAATTCGGTGGTTACAATGTTTGGCTTCCAATAAAATCAAAGGCCAACATAAATAGGTTATCAACTCATATAGGACACTAAAAAAGTCTTTGATGTTAGATGATCATGATTTTGACAGATAATTTTGAAAAAAACTTAGAGATGCAAGTGACAATGCTATGATCTCACACTTCCAACTAAAGTAATTAAGACCCGTCAACACTTAGAACTAGAAAAATAAAACAGAAAAAGGAATTGGTGCTAAGCCCTGCCTGATTCAGGCAAGAAGCTGCATCCATCCCTGAATAGGAACAATAACTGGGAATTAAAAACAATGGCATTAAGGAATGAAATTCCAATAAAATCTCATTTTTCAATGTTAAGTAATGATTAGTCAAAATATGTAATGTCCATGGTTTTTAGATCAATTGTATTTTAATTTTCAAAATACATTTAAAAATATAAAGCTTATGGCTATCAGCAATAAAAATGTTTGTTTTCTTTTATTTCATTTATATAATTTGTTTTGTGGTAGTCACACAGAAGTATTTAAGAATTTAAGAAGAATTTAAGACTTTCAGACATAAAAAAAAAAAAAAATATTAGGATAAGTTTCTATAAAGCAATAGACTGAAAATGGGAAGTTAAAGGGAAGGACATACATAAAATTTCTGAATGTTAGACAAGCCTGCCTATCATTATTTTAAACAGGAAGGTGGCTAACAAGTGACTATGGTATTTAAATTCCACTTACACATTTAAAAAGTGATGTAACAAGTTATATCTTTGCAAATATTAAATCTTTTGATGAAATAAATTTGATGCCAACCTGCAGGTATCTTAGGGGGCATCTAGTTTATCAAGATTATTTTAGGGGGCAGGTGAGCGATTTGCTGTGAAGACCACTGCGCCAGGAAACCCAACTACCCAAGTACAAACATTGCAAATGAGAGCTGTCCACCCCAGTGCGAGGGACATGTGGGCATGGATGAGCTTTGGTTGCTACCCTAGACATGTCCTTTGCAGACTCAGAGAAACCAACTCTAGGGGCAGGTAGGAAGCTTCTGTTTGACGTGGGTGCTGGCACTCAGAGGAAGCTGCTTGAAGCAATGCAGACTGCTGCCCGCCCCTCCACAAGAGGGTCACTAATTAGCACAGGAGCAGTTATGTAAACTAACTGGCGTCCAAGAGAGGATGAGCTGATACACTATGAGTGCATCTCTGTCCCTGCACACCTGGGTGCAAGGCTGTCCCCTCCCCCCTTGATGAAGTGTCTGCCATGATTACAGAGGGTGCCTTCCGCTGGTCTGACCAGAAGGTGGGCTGCCTGGCGGCCAGAAAATCACACCTGCATCATGTGAACCTCTCCTGGGTGTGCATTTCAGCATGCCTGAGGGACAGAGACCTGGAATACCATTATTTACAAGAACAGGCCATGTCACAGTTGTGTGTGTCTGCCTAAATTTGATCTGAGACTGGCTTTCATCTCAGGACCACTGAATAGCAAGGTCAGAAGGGTGGGGCCTATAGCTCTCACTTCTACTCACTGAGGGGTCACTGATGCTGTCAGAAGAGACAGTTGTGAAGCATCAAGTGGATTAGGCCAGCGCACAAGACGTATGCTGGGTTGTCCTAACAAGGGATGCAAGTCTACATATTCCAGGGAGACTGTTTTTGGCACATCCCTCAATCAAGCCAATAACACTGTGCGATGAGCAATATTTTCCCTGATCTAGTGAGGGACATGACAATAAGTTCAGACTTGTAATGTACTTTAGAGCTTAAAATCGCCTATGGAACATGCAGTTTTGAGGTGGTAAGTGTCCCTGTCTTTTACGCCTTTCTCTTTAGATGGGAAGGTATAGATTAGGAGTAATTTCCCCAACTCCTCTAGAGCCTGAGTTTACACCTGAAAGTGGGCTGAGCGTTGGGAGCGACGCACCTGGAACAGTTGGTGATCTCCATGCGAGGGCCCGTGCACTGCCAGCCGCCACACTGGGGGGCCGGGCTGTCGCAGGAGCGGGCGCGACAGAGGCAGGTTCCCACGGTGCTGCCATCCGTGTGTGTGCAGGGCGTCCATGGGGACCACGCGCCAAAGTGCCCATCCACAGTGAGATTCCTCGTCTAGGAAGCAGATACAAGAAGGATGTCAGAAAGGGTTAAGGCTGCAAATGTAAAGAAAAAATAAAAAGCAATCAGAACCCACTTAGAATATTTTATATCACAATAAAAAGGGATGAATGGGGCAATATTTCAAAGTAGAGCAGCAGTGGTCATTGGTGAAGATGATGATGGAGAAGGTGGGGGAGGGGAAAGGAGAAGGGAGAAGAAGGAGGAGCAGGAGGCAGGAGAAGGAAAAAGAAGAGAGAGAGAAGGAGCAGAAGGGAACTGAAGGGTGCTAATAGCTTGACAATCAGGTGACAGCATAACTGTCCGCTAATGTGAGACACCCAAGGAACAAGAACTGGATGAAAAACCACAGATATACAATTCTGTTGCATTTTTATGTAGCACAAAAAAAATGAAAGATTAATCAACTAGTTGTCATTTAGGAGCTGTCCTGGCTCAAATGTCACTGAAAACTAACAGCATTTAACTTACTTGTCAAGGGGCTGGCACAGTGACTGCGGTCTTGTTCAGGGCCATGATAAGTGTTGCATGGATCACGGGGAAATATTGCCTAGTTCCATTTTGGTTTCACAGACCCAAATACGGTTTCTTGTGCCTTCCTATGACATGGAAATGGCACTCTGCTCAGACAAGACTTGGATCTCAATGACAATGACCTCAGTGCTCAACTGCCCACGGATCCGTAGCCTCCCCCTTCTGCTCCTGGCTGGAACGGGGAATGAGGGACACCCATTCTCACGAAGGCATAAGAGGAAGAAGGGAACTTTCTACTGTTTGGGGCATTTTCATATTGAAAACATTTCACAACTTTTATTCAAATCACTGAATCACTGACAGGTTTGGCTCAGTGGATGGATTTGTGCAAAGTATGAGGTTTTCCCTCCTGAGCTAGTTACTGGGGAACATATGAAATACAGAAAGAATTGGTTTCAGAGCACAGGACTGCATTGTGTCACGTGGGTACCATGGGCTACTTGGTATATGATGTATCGGCAGGTGGATGTCCCTCCTAGCACCACACACACACACCCCTCATGGAAAATGGTGCAAACACCTAAAGAGCTTAAAAGTAAGTGATTTTTAAAAGCAAAGCAACATGAAAAAACAAACAAAATGGTATCTATACTCAGAATATCAACATCCATGTATTTTAACACATCATGTTGACCCTAAAATTTTACATAAAAATCTTCCTTCTCCTCTATGAGACTGCTGTCCTATGGACCAGACTCCAACGCAGGCCGGATGGAGCCAGAGGCCTCTTGCATGTTACTGAGCGTCAGGGAAAGGGAGCCCCAGAAGTTACAAAGTGTAAAATAACATGGCTTGATGGCAGAGGCGGGGCCCAGGGGAGAAACCAAGTCTAAGTACCTGCACGACCCTGGCAGGAAACAGAAGCCACAGTCTCCGTAATTTTGAAGAGGACACAGCAAGGCCTCTGGCAGAAGCGTGGGCTGAGTTAAGGGAACCATCTGGGATACAGAAGTCACCGGGAAAGGACCACACGGGAAGCTGGGAGCTGTGACTAGGCCAGGCCTCTCAGGAAGAGGGGTGGGCAGGATACAGGGGCCAGTGACAGACAGAGCCTGGGGAGGGGTTGCTGACAGGGGCTGTCATAGGGGCATAAAGCTCCTAGCAGACTGACGTCTGAGCAGAGGAGGGAAAGAAAGAAACACCCCAGTCTCCCTTCTCCTGCCAGTGCCTCCCCAGGAGCGCAGAGAACAATCTGGAAGCGAGGAGGGGGATGGGGCCTGACCAGCACAGTGACCGGCAGCAGCATCCTAAGAGGCCCTGTGAGACAGCCGGCCTTCCATCGGCCTCCTCCTCTGTGAGGGTGTGAGGGGTAACGCAGTTGGGGACACCACTGTAACTTTTGAAGGTTTAGAAATTTTCCCAATATTGACTGGAACTTTTAAAACGTCAGGTTATTTGGAGACAGATTAGCAGGTTGAGGTCAAAAGATTCTCTCAAAACCCCCTCGGCCTCCATTTCGTCAGCAATATACAAAGGAGATGGGCCCAGAGCCTGCCAGGATCTCTTTAGCAATTCGAGACAATTTGAATATAAAACCATGAGGATGTGTGAGGCCAGGAGGAAATGCAATATAGTGACACATTAATGAAGATGGAAACAGAAATCATTCAGAATGTTCCAAGGGGACCTTTGCTGATGCGAACAGACACAGAAATTGGCAAACTGAAAAATAAGTCCGTGACTTGTAGAAAAGGACCTGCTACCAGCCAAGTTTATCAATAGGTGATAGAAATCAATGAATACAGGGAAGATACAAGCAGAAACACCAAGTGTGAGAGGAAAAGACAGACAGACAGACATGGGGAGAAAGAGTCACAGTTGCTGCCTTGATTGCTGATAACTTTGAGGTTCCTGTTCTAATCCATGTGGTCCCTTAAAATCAATCTCCTATTCTGCAGGGAATGTGAGAATCTCAGTTTCTGAAGCCCAATCAGCCTAAGTGTGGAAAGGTTTTTATGAAGGAGACTCTGAATGAAAGGGCTTTTCATTCGTCATGGGAATTATCCCTTATAACTCCCCAGGGGAGAGGAGGCATCCACGCCAGGGTTGTGTTGATACCACCAGCCATGACCTTGGACAGCAGCCGCCCCAGGCCAGGGGGTGCTAATCCTGCCTACTCTAAGCCAGTCAGGGCAACCCCACTCACTGGCCAGTGCGGGACTGAGAACAAACATGTGACCTGATACTGGAAGATGAGGTGAAGAGACTGCAAAAGGCTTCCAGAAATGCTTTTCCTCCAGACAAAAGTAAAAAACACTCTGTTCCTTTTCTCCTTCCTGCCTTGGATTCTGTTATATGAGGATGTGATGTTTCATGTGCCGGGGGTGGGGGGCGAGAGGAAAAGGCCCAGAGAACATGAGGCCTGCTCACTCAGAACCTCCCTGAACTGAACAGAACCAGCCCTGAAATTGCAGTCTCCCCATCACAGAAGGATGAAGATAGTTGTTTTCAAGGCCCTACACGCAGGGAATTCAATTTCTATTAAGTAAATGCTGTCTTATTGGACAAAATCTTTATATACTATTTCTACAGAAAATGCAAACTAAGATGAAGAGTTATGAAATTGCCAAAGACTGCACAACTAGTGATTTGGAAGATGTAACTGGAAATGCTGGTCTGCTTTTCCCTTACTGTGAGATCACTTTTCTCAATCTCTGTAACACTGACTGACCCTTGGGCTGGGTTATCCTTTGTTATGGAGGCCGACCTACTCATCCTAGAATCTTTGCTGACATTCCTGGCCTCTACCCTCTAGATGGCAGTATCCCAGTGCTCCAGGATGTGGCAACCAAAAATTCTCCAGATATTGCTAAATGAACCCAAGGACACTTCCAATGAAGAACCACTACATTCATTAGACATCCCTTTTTCTCTCCCTCTGGACACGGGTGTAAGATAGCAGGGTCTCGGACAAAGAGATGGTATAAATGTTCTCCTTCCAAATATATGGATGGGCAGAAAGGAGTGCATGTGAGTGACAGATGAAAAGGGAGGATGAATTTGAAATAAGTGACAGTTTATGAGAGAATAGTGAGAAATGAGGTAGAAAAAAATAGAACAGTTAAAGAAAACACTGCATTCAGCAAATCATTAATGAGAGTACGTAGTGATATAATTCTGCAGGATAAGAAAGTAGGCTTTATTTTCAGCTGCATACTTTGAGGGGCAATATTTTCAACTCAGATACATTGCTGTTGGTTCTATTAAATTCAAAGCAAGAAGAGCTTGCAATTTTCAGAAAAGCACGTGGGCTGTCTGCATTGCATTTAACTACAGGCTTGTTTTGATCCCGAGTGTATTAGTTTGAGCATCTGCCTCGGAAATCAATCCATGAATAATAGGGTAGGTTCTGCTGCTTTACTTTTCCATATGAGTAGGTATTTTTATATTTTCTTGGCTTTCTTTAAACAGATATCAGAAATAAAACTATGTAGAATAAATTTTCAGTAGTGGTGCTATGTTCTGGGTTTCTGCCAAGTGACTTTCTGTTTGGGGTATGTGCTCTATATTATTAAATATTGTCATAGTAAAACATATACTTGTATATATGTAGATAGCTTAGTGTATGCCAACCACTGTGCTGAATGATGTGCACGCATTAACTCCTTGAATCTTCCTAACATCCCTACTGTCTGCATCCCATTTTATAGATAGGAAAACTGAAACTCCGATGAGACTCAGTTGGCTCAAAGTCACACTGTGATCTCTGCTACTTCATTCTATAATGCAATTCTTAGATCCTTCTTTGGGGAGAGTCTCATAGAAATCAGCTTCATGCACTTTTACCCCCAACTCTGTAACAGCAAAGTCCCCTTCATCTAGGAAATAACTGATTTCCAAGAGCTAGCTAAGGAAGATTCAAGTTTTGTTAACAAGTAAAATCCATTTCAATTCATTCATGTTCAATTAAATTAATTCCCAACTGACCCAGAATGGAGATGCATTTGGTGTGTACACTGGCCCCTGGAGCATATCGATAGGTCCTTCCTGTACTCCAGACATCATTCTCTTATAACTACATCAAAGTCTCGTATTTTCTATTCAGACATTTTTTCAGAAGTCAAAAGATCTACCTTTGTTTTCCAAGTTTCAGGTACCTTTCATCAGAGCAGGTAACACAACAGGATATTAATATACTCCTTGATATCATTCCTAAGTCTGTCTCCATAGATGGATTTTTCACCAAGAAAACAGCATCTTTGAGGAAACAAGCGGAGTGCTGTGTGGCCTCTGAGAGGCCGGGTGGACGGGGCCAGCCTGCCTGCCTCGAGGCCCAGTTCTGTTGTCTATGAAATGGAAGCAATGATGTCTCTCTTCGGGGGTCACCATCAACACTGTATGAGACAATCCATTGAAAATTGCCTAACATGTCACTGAATCATAGTCTTAGACACATAATTAACCTTAGTTCTCTTTTCCTTCTAGTAGATTTTTTTTCAAGTCTTACATAACACTTGTTATATAAGATACTATATATAAAATGTTTCATTTGAGAACTCACAGGTAGCAAATGCTTGCTAAATGCCATGATTATCCCAGAATCTCATCCCTATTTGTAAAGTATCCTGTAGAAAAGCAACAGGAATTATCTTATGGGGTAAATAAGTATGTTATACTTGTAAAAGAAAATAAAATAAAATAATATAAAATAAAATAAAATAAAATAAAAAACACCGTAGATCACATTACAAAATTTAGAAATAACACCTCGTCTCCTATCTGAGCATAACACGCAGGGTGACCACTGGGTCACATGATTGGGTCCACCTGCAGGCCGCTGCCTTGGGGAGATGCTAACAGATGTGAATAGCAATGTCTTGTAGATCAGAAGTACTGTATCTAAATCTTGATTTCTTTCCCAATGTAGTTTTAGAAACTGTGCAAGCCCATTAGATGATGATCTATGGTGTTGCCATCTACATGGAGGGCTTTGGGTTCCATCAGTGCTAAAGTCCCCTTTCTTTTTTTTTTATCCTCATCCGAGGACATTTTTACATTTATCTTCAGATAGATCAGGAGGGAGAGAGGGCAGGAGAGAGAGAGAGAAACATCGATGTGAGAGAGACACATCGACTGGTCGCCACCCACCCAACCCCAACTGGGGCTGGGGACAAACTGCAACTGAGGTATGTGCCCTTAGCGGTAACCGAACCCAGGACTCTCTGGTCCGTGGGCCAACACTCTAACCACTGAGCAAACTGGCCAGGGCTCCCCTTTCATTTTAAGGTTGCTAACTGCACTGTAGCCCAGGAATAATCCTATAATTCTGAGACATATTTGGTCTATCTATTCTGTTAGTTATTACATGATATATTTTGGAACAGGAACTCACCATCCGATATAATATGCTGGTAACCATGTACCCACAAAGGATGTGGACAGTATTTGTACATAAAACCCAGGTAGATTCTTCAGACTATACTATCCTTGTTAAGCAACATTATAAGCTATGCAGGGCATATGTACATATTTTTGAGTTACACTAGATATTTTGATTTAGATCTTGCTCAAACATTTCAAATTTATTAAACTGAGAACAATGTTTTTAACTATATTTAAATAAGCAAACAGAATTTTAGTCAATAGTCAACTACTGCCCTGTCTTCTGGGCAACAGAAATCCATCAACATTTTTAAAAAGAGACCTTTCAGTGGAAATAGGTCTTAAGCTGCTAAGTCCCTGGGAAGGTTCTAGGATTCCCATCAGCAACTTCAACTCACTGGAGAGCAGAGGATCTAAGCAGCAAATGCAGCCTGTGGGTGAGGTGTGACTGGAAGCCAACTTTGGGGAACTCAGCTGTGCCACAGGCTCTGTCCGAGGTTTGTGAAGATGTATAAGGTAGGTTCCTATCAGAGGGTGTGATATCAGTCTCAGCACATTCACCATCCCTCTAACCTTGAGCTCCACATACATAACATGACCTCCTCTCATTAGTCAACTTGAGCTTTTATATTGGATATAAATTGCCTTGGTCTCATTTAAAAATCCCTCAGTGTATAAAGCTTAATTTCTCTTGGCTAAAGAAATGCAGATTAAAAAAAAAAGAAATGTATTTCGATAATTATAAGATTTTATTTTATAAGATCTTTAACATCTCAAATCAGCTGGCATCTTGTATTCCATGGGAGTATTTTTTCCCCCTTATAAAACAGTAGTATACTTCATGACCAATGGCATATCAGAAATTATGAAATATGTTAGATTTGGTGAATAAAATTAAGCCTTTCTTCCATTTCATTCAAAAATAAAAATTAACATAGAAGTCAATTACATTTTCAATAGTCTTTAAAAATACCTCTCTAAGTTAAGACTGCTATATGTAAATGCTAATAATTTTCATCTAGTTCATTTCTTTCTACAAAATAGATTGTTAGAAAAAGAAATAAATTTAAAATAGTAGTTAGGTTATTCAAAATTTCCTATTTTCCACATGATAGCCTATATATATAATAAGGATGCATTGTTTTATTTCCTGATTATTGCTCAAAATGACATAATTTAGTCTCTGTTGTTGGATGCTTTCCATATTATTAACTTATTAAGAGTATATCTTGAATATGATACATTATATAGAGTGAGAGGACAGGGATGGTTTTGTATAAGAAATCACCTCAGAGCTCAGCTGGTGCGGCTTAGTGGTTGAATGTTGGCCCATAGACCAAGAGGTCACCGGTTCGATTCTCAGTCAGGGCACATGCCCAGGTTGCAGGCTTGATCCCCAGTAGTGGGCGTGCAGGAGGCAGCCAATTGATGTTTCTCTCTCATCAGTGTTTCTCCCTTTCTCTCTAAAAAATCAATAAAACATTTTTTTTAAAAATCACCTCAAACAAGAAAAAAAAAAAAAAAAGGCTTTGTTATGTGTTTTCTGGACAGTGAATCTGAGATCACATTTCAGATATAATTTTAAAGCAGAGAAGGTGGAGAAACAGCTCCTACCCCAAGGCAGGTTCACATTGCCCTCTGCCCTTCCCGAGTTTACAACAGAAATGTTCCTCTCAGCAGTACTGACAACTGTAAGAACAACACTCTGGTCACTTCTTAAATATTGGATCATCTCCATTTTTGTATTGTAGAAATATACAGGACACATATTTCTTATAAACCAAGTGGCGGCATGTGTATTTTTCATTACACAAGTAAGCATGTCTCAGATATCCAATAAAACAACCATGGTCCTAGATGGATAGTCTCATTGCTTAAGAAGAACCACTATTATATTCATTTGCTCTTTTTACTATTAAAATATCAATGTCAAATGTCTAGAAGAAGGTGTGCTGATTCTTCTGAAGTACACATCCATACATTAGAGACAGCACGTTATTCGCTCTAGTTGCAAAGAATGGGAGGTGAGCCCTAGCCAGGTGGTTCAGTGGGCTGGAGCATCACCCCATTCACCAGTAGGTCATGGGTTCAATTCTTGGTCAGGGCACACACCTAGATTGCAGGTTCAATCCCTGGTTGGGGCACATACGGGAGGCAACAGATCAATGTTTCTATCTCACATCAATATTTCTCTCTCTCTCTCTCTCTCTCTCTCTCTCTCTCTCTCTCTCTGTCTCAAATCAATAAAAACATATCTTCAGGTGAGGATTGAAAAATAAATAAAAATAAAAGAATGGAAGGTGAACACCACTGTGCTTCTTGAGAGTTGTTCAGAAATGAAAAGGGACTTAGAACACTGGCATTTTTAATCAGTTTCAAGAGACATTGCAGAAAAGTTTGCTTCTAAAATCAGAGATCTGAAGCTATAACCTGAAGGACTAGCAGCTAACCCCCTTGCAAAGATGTGCTTGAAGCCTGGATAAGGTGATACATTCACTGTTGCAGTGAAAAGCCTTGATCTCATGCCAACATTTGGGGAAGGGCACTGGTTCTATGAGCCCTGGCCTTGGACATGTCACTCTGTCTGATTTTCCCACTTCCAAATGGAAGAGAGTCTTCATGGACACAGGTTTACATAACAGAACTAGCAGGCTCTGTGATAGGAAGCAGACACACAGTTCACATGCCTCAGGCAGTTCTGTATTGAAGAAACAGCACAGATGTCAAATACGGAATGTGTCACTTTCCTTCTCAGCCTTGTCTTGCAGAGGAAGGCCAGAGCCACAGTCACAGAAATCAGCAGTCACAGGACAGCAAAGTAACTTAATAAATTTGCAAATGTGTGGAAGCTAACAGCTGTTAATCATATTCCCCAAGGGAAAAAAAGACAAAGGGGTGGAGGGGGAATCAGCAGTTTCCCAGAAGTGAGGACCCACACAAATACTCTGGCAAAAAGAAAATGTGGAATCTGTTTTCTTGGATTCAGAGACTACATCCAAATACAAGCAGGCTTCTCTCCATTCTGCAGAATTCACAGTGGGAATGTACATTAGGCTGCTTCTCCCAGACCCTGCTGTGACCCTGAGCAGGCTCCACAAGAAGATCCCACAAGGAATTCACTGGTAAGAGCCTTTAGTTCATTCTTTTAAAAGCTCTACTTATCTCGGCTTCTAGAACTATAGCTCCCAAGAGAAATTGATGGGTGTGGAAGGTACTATTTTATTAATGCTGTAAAGAGTACAATAGGTCACACCAAACTCTGGAGATAAAAATCCAAGAATAAAACAAGATATTACACCCCATTTTCAGACCAGCACTGTTTTCTCCTCCAGAAGACAAGAAGCTTAGGCCAGTACCCTGCGTGGCTCCTGTGCAAGCTAAGAGCTGAGTAAGTTAGGAGAGCGGACAAGGTGTGCAGAAAATATTCCACGACAAAAATGCATGGACGCCATTCAAGTGCTGGTTAGGACCGTAGGACAGAGGGGTGACTGTGGACAGTGCGTTCCGAGGACCCGGAACGTGGACACTTACAGGACAGGTAGAGATGGTCTGCTCCCACTGAGTCATGCTCAGGCTCTCCTCCAGGCTCGTGCATTTCTTCATCACCACGTCCCAGCCACAGTAAGGATCCTGGGCCCCGATGCAGGCACTGGAAACACACCCAGGAGTCAGCAGAGAGCCAGCTTAACTAAACTAAGACATAAACTAATGCAAGCCTGGTCCCAGTGACTTGACATTGGAACTAGTTATGGAAAACAGTCTCAGTCTACACGTGAGAGAACATAGCTTTCTGCACACACCTGCAAGTATCCAATTATAATTAAATAACAATTTCCATTGAAATACCTATATTTTTTTCTAAAACAGAAGGCAGGCAACTAAATTACTATCTGTGTCAACATGAGCCTTTTGGTGTCATCAAAAGACCTAAAGTTAGAATTCTGCAATGCTCAAAACTACTAGTTGTTATCACCACCACCATCATCATCCCCTTAACAATAGATATAACCTGTTGAAAAACTACTGTGATAGGTCAAATTATCTCATTTAGACATAAACAACTTTGACAGGGAGGTATTATTATTATCACTTTCTTTATCATCACCATAATCATCATCACCAGCACCGTCATCATCACTATCATCAACACCTTGATAACAGATATTATTTGTTGAACACCCACCTGATATATCAAGTTATTATATCATTTTGACACCTAAAAATCTCTAATGAGGGAGGCATTAATAAAGCAACAAAACATCAAAGACACAAAATTTATGAAATTGGCCCAAGGACAAGCAAATATACTCAAAAACCCTGCAACATGGTTCGTTCAAATTTAATAAAATAAGTCTTCCTTTTCAGTACCATAGCTCAAAAATGTATTAAAAAATTTAATTTAATATTAGTTTAAACACCTGTCTAGAATATTGAACATAATATTCAGAAGTACTGTGCATAGTGGGTATTTTATTTCAGCTTTGTCTCAGTGAAGAAGTGCATACACAACCTAGGCTAGGCTTTTCCAGATGACTATTTGGGCCCCTATGTTTTAAATACAATAGAAGGTAGATGTAAGGGTGTAAGAAGTAGAAAGAGATAATAGTGAGAGAGCCAAAATTATACAGAGACCACCCCACAGAAAATCAGGGCATTGACTACCTGGGAAATCACTTTCTGATGGGGCCAGGAGATCAGGTATGTAGGCATCTGATGTGAGGAAAGCAAGGTGAGAACATCATGGAAGTCTAATTTCTTTATGGAGTTAGAAAGAAGAATAGGTAGCCTGGCCGGTGTGGCTCAGTGGTTGAGCATTGACTCATGCACCAAGAGGTCACCAGTTTGATTTCTGGTCAGGGCATATGCCCAGGTGATGGGCCTGATCCCCAGTGGAGGGCATGCAGGAGGTGGCCAATGGATGTTCTCTCTCATCAATGTTTCTCTCTTTCTCTCCCTCTCCCTTTCTCTCTCTCAAATCAATAAAGAAAAATTTAAAGAAAAAGAAAGGAAAATAAGTAATAGTTGCACATCAGTCAAACATGGGACCATTGAGGTAGTATAAATAATAATCTAGTTAACATTAATGAGATAAAACAATACTAACACACCAAATATGTTAACCACATATTTGTTAAGCACTGTTATGATAACCTTACCTCTATTAGCTCATTTCAAATTCAGATTCTTATATAGGACCTCAATTAGTCACTACATTTATTCCCACTTTAAAATGAAGAAACTGAAGCAGAGAAAGGTAAAGTTCCACAGCTGGGAAAGATATATCTAAAGACAATAATCAAGCAATAGAGGTATAACATTATTATGTAGCTTATTACGCAATTATTATTTATTAACTACCTAAAAAGTTCAACAGGAACATTTACAATTGGTGCTTCTCACAGCAGGACAAAGTTGAGGTGGAAGAGGCGTGAAACCATGGCTTGTCACCATAACCTCAACAGACCTTTTCATAAGTGACCAGGCGCATGCTAAAAGGTACACTTAGCACATTCAATGTCTCAAGAGTTTATTTCTGCAAGTGTAGATTCCAGTCAAGCAAGGTCAAACGGAAACTGGTTTGAGGCTCCAGACAGGAGCGAGGGGAGAGGTTTTTATAGAGAAAACATGGAAGCAAAGAAAGGAAATTGCTTGATTAGCTCTAGCTCATGTGGTTGCTTGTTCAGGAAAGCCTGGTTGGCGGTGTGCGACTGGTTGGTCTTCCGTTTCATTGTATCACCTTCCAACGCACTGACTGACTTAGGTTTCATTACACAGGCTACCAAGGCATTAGGGCCACTCACGTCCAACGGCCTCCTTGTTTATTGACTTTAACACTCATATTACTTTCATGCAAAAAAAAAAAAAAAGAGAGAGAGAGAGAGAGAAAGAAATCAAACAAAACAGTAATAAAAGGCAAAGTAAAAGTTCTCCTTCTCCAGAAGTAGGCACTCTTCACAGTTACATATTTCGGAGACAGTGTCTCAATACAAATAAGGGTTCATGTATGGATATATCTACATGTATTATATATATTCTTTATATATTTATACATTATTGTTGTTTATATTTACAACAGCTGTATGTAACATGTGCAAAGGGCACTCACTGTACACCCTGCCTCCTGTTTTACTTTTTAGACATAATTATACATCACAACACTTTTTCTTGTCAGTAAACATAGCTCTACCTTATTCCCTTTAATAAATGCATAGTATTGTTACCTTGATGAACCACTATGTATTTAAATTAGCAAGGCTGCAATGCATGTCTTTGTACATATTTTCTCCGTGATAAACTTTTATTGATGGACTAAAAGTCATGGGTATTTACACTAAGAACCTTCTGCAGCGGCTGTGACCTCCCCAGTGGTGACAGTGGGATCTCACCCACAGCATTCTAGTCTCACTGAATCCTGGTTGACAGCACGCACAGTGTGCATCACACATGGCAACGCCCACTCCTGGTCCTCTGCATGTTGGCGAGCAATAGGGCACAGCTACACTTACAGAAATCATTCAAAAGACCTGAATTCCTTTTCATGTTTCTTATTAAAGCAGCATCATACAACATTACAATTTCAAAAGTGGGGAAAATTCCTCCAATTCCCTACCTTTGCCCAGTGTTCCCCTTGCCAAGCTACCCGGAAGAGGGAAACAATGCCACATGGTTTCGTGAAATATTTTAAGCTGATTTAAATGAAAAGCTGCTTGTACAAACATCATTTTTTTTCCCATAATGCTGCCAGTTCTTCACATTCTTAACATTCCATTTATCCCTTAAAGTATTAAAACTTCTCTAAAAACACAAACACCCATTCATTAAAAATAGCATTTATATATAAATGTTTTCCTCACTTAAAATACTTCAAACCATGGGTAAAATTTTGATGAGGTCTACTTTTATTCTAAATTATACTTTAAGGAAAACAAGTCATCCTAACTTATTTGTTTGGAAAGCGGGTTTTTAAAGAGACCACGGGAAACCACAAACTTCCTGTTAACCAACATGAAGATGACTTTCCTTTATTCCACTTCGAAAACGTTTTTCTTTGAATGATGAACCTTTTGAATTGCCTTATTTTTGTGAATAACCTTAAATTATTCTCTTTTGACATATTGCTCTGGTGTTTGAAATGAACTGAATTCAGAAAAAGAAGTCAATCAGAATCTGATGGATTAACTTGAAAACATTTATTGAGAGTCTGTTGTAGCGCTAAGTGTATATTTAGAGTCAAGCCTTAATTCCAGAAGAAGGATAAACAACTCTCCCTTTTCTAGGATGCTGCACAGCTAAGAAAAGCTAAGAGTCGCCCTGGCCGGTTTGGCTCAGCGGTTGGAGTATCCGCCTGCGGTCGGGAGAGACCCGGGTTCGGTTCACGCTAAGGGCATGTACCTCGGTTGCAGTTTGTCCCTGGCCCTGGTTGGTCGTGCGGGTGGCAGCCATTCGATGTGTCTCTTTCACATCGATGTTTCCCTCTCTCTCTCTGCCTCTTTCTCCCTTCAACTCTATCTGTACAAAAAATGGAAAAATGTCTTCGGGTGAGGATAAAAAAAAAAAAAAAAGAAAAGCTAACAGCCTACACTACTGGGATAGTTTTAGTCCTCCTTCTTGTTCTTAGACACATATTCTTAATTGTAATAATAATATATAATATATAACTAATTAATTAATAGAAATAATAATATGATGACATTAAAATATTTGGCCACAGAGGAAAAGAAAAGGAAAAAATGTACTCGTACCATGGTTGTAGCGCAAGAGAATGGGCATAGCAGAAGGTAGGGGCAGCCCATGGTTATCTCTGTAAGATGGCACACATATATTTTCTTTGCTTTCATTATTTACCTGGATCAAAACAGATATGTTTCTACCATTGCCAGAGGTGGATTTACAATGAAGCTAAAAAAGCTTTACTTCCTGGAGTCTTTACTTCTTTAGTTCAGAAGGCCCTTTAATGCCCTGTGATTGGCCCTAGTCATTTTGTATTTATAATTTGATATTCTTTTCCATAGTGAGAACCCCTCCCAAATGGTATAATCTACAGGCACCACAACACCTTAACTATTAGAGAAAAGTAGCATGTCTTCTGTTTCTTAATCTACTAGTCAAGTAGGTTCAACACACTTTGTCCATTCATTTCCCACCCTGTCTAGGACCTGGGGGTGTGTGCTGTGACTTTGCTGGAAGACACTGGGTTCCAGCCCACGCCCACCTCAGACCCCTCTTACAGTGTGCTCTTCACAATTGTAATTAGCATGTTGGTGAATGTACTTTGTTTTTCCCCCTTCCATTTTCTAAATAGTCGTAATGATAACGTACACATAATGTCTTCCTTTTTCCAATTACTGTCATGTCACACAGATGTCTTCATAGTCATTACTTAATGGCTTCGGAATAACCCACTGAGCAAATAATCCACTGAATAAGTATATCACCACTTGTTGATTAATTCCCCTACTATTGGAGATTGAGAACTGGAACACTGGTTGTGATTCAGGAATAACTGTAAAAGTAATTGGACAGGGATGTCAGGCTCAGAGACTGGGTCCCAGTGCAGTCCACCTGAACTCTGCTGCAATGATAAATCGATCCTGGGATAAAGCCTAAGGTAACTCCAAGGCCCTTTGGCTCGAATCAACAATAGATTTT